AATGCTAATGTAGAGTGACATCGTTAATGGAATGACCGAGTTGGTTAAAGTGTTGAGCAACAGGGAGATCTTTTCCGGTGTTAATAGAAGATTTATGGTTGTTGAAATGTTGTGCAAGAGTTGTTTGTGTTTGTCCTACATATTGGTAATTGCATTTTTTACACTGTACAAGTTAAATGGCATTTTTTGTTTAACAAATGATTTCTTTGGATATTTTAAAGTTTCTTTGATTGTGCTTGTCATAAAATGAGTCAATGGTTTTTATGAACTTGCAGGTTTGACAACGTGCTTTATTACATGGATGAAACTTTAAAATATCCTAATAAATCATTTATTCAATTACACCACCATTCCCAGTTTGCCCCTGAAGAAGAAAGGTCCACCTTTCGAAAGCACTCGGGTTATAGGGTTTTTATTCATTTATATCAATCACTGACATTTTGATAGCATTGTTCCAATAAGATAGTTGTGTGGTGCAAAAGGTCAATTTACAGATACAATTATTAATTGTTTTTCATTAATTATTTAATACATAAATGACATTTTATTGTAAATTACTAATTTTTGACTATGGAATCCAATGGTGTACAATTTTTTTTATTTTCACTACTTAAAAACCAATGAAACTCCCCCAATATTTGTAGGATTACACTCAGCAGTTGTGGAAACCAACACTTATAGTTTTACAAGAATTCTCGAATGGAATTTACGATTTTTTCAAAAATAGGAAAGTTTAAATTAGTCTTCTCAAACTCAAAGGAGGGTGTGCAAGGACAGCCTTGTCCAAGTTGGATTTACAGTTTACCAATGTTACATTGTTAAGATTAAACCTAGAATCCCAGCGTTAAATTTTCAGTCATTAACATTAAGTGGGGTGGGGTCATGGTGACCCCACGCTGACGTTCTAGGGTTAAGACAAATTTAAGTAATTTACTAATTAGTAATTGTTCAGTTTGTTTTCCATATGTTACATCATATCTATAATGTTGCGATGAAATTATAATTGTATAGCAACTACCTAATTATTACAACTCTCCTTAACATAACTAATACAACTACTTACAGTGTTACACATTGTTGTACCCTATCAATTACTTTTAATAATAGCTTATTATTACTAGTAGTAGTATTACTATTTCTATTAGCTCTTGATTAGGCTTAGCTTTCTTAATTTTCTACCCTACCAGATTTTGATTTTCCTCTTTTTCCCTTCGGCATGATAAAACCAGTCTTGAGTTTCGAAAAAGAACTGAATAATCTAAAATCTAATATAATCAGGATGGACAACAACTTCGTATAAGTTTAAAAATTTTGTTTTTAAAATAACAATTTTGAGTAACAGATAAAATAAGCCTAAACGTCATCGTGGGTAACACGAATGCTAAATGTAACAGGCTTACTTAGATTACAATTTCTACGCATGCGGTGTGTCTCGTACTAAAAGATGAAACTACAGAATTTAATAGGCTGGAGTTCCCGTGACGTCATATTACCCAGGTCCCCCCCCCCCCCACACCGTCCCTTACGTACCACTTTGGGAAAGAAAATTGTTTATTAAGAAATTATAAGAAAAAACAAAGAAAGGCATCCTTTTTATAACATTTCACAAATCAATTTCTATTTCTTGATCCAAAATGCCTTATTTTGAGTCCATTCATAATGTTTTCTAGGATAAAACCTTATATAGGTGCGATATAAGATTGCTCAAATATAGGCCTAACTGTTGGATCGACTCCTACTAGTAATAAATAACCTTATAACACCAAATTTACTTTTCTTTTGCGAGCGGGAGTTTAAGGACAATTGTCCCACACACATAAATAATTTATCGAAAACTAAAACTCAGAGTATGTGCCTAAAGATTGATTTATGTAGATAAACACCACTTTTGCAGGAGATTAAAAACTGGTAGCGAATGAAGTAAGAATTTTTTTAGTTTTTGCTTAAAATACTCTATGTTTGGTTGCTTGTGCATATTCTGTCCCCATGGTTAGTCGCCAATGTTCTGACTTGTTTCTCCTGAGGGTAATTCGGTTTTACCTGCAAATACCACAGCAGCATCCCTTCCAGTTTCAGAAAAAAAAAAAAAAAAAAAGATACGTGTG